GGTCCGACTGAGATAGAACCAACTTCAGTCAGGCTACGCAGCAATTCAGCAGCAAAATCATGCGTCTGACAGGAAGAGAGACGTGGTTACAAAGTAAAACACATCTGCTTTGGGGGGAAATACTAAATAAAATCTGTTAATGACACAGAGAAAGACTCAGTTTGGAGTCGCATATAGTAATTGGTAGTGGTGTGAATCACATCCATGATGGCGATTCCATTCAGTATCGATTTCCTGACCCAACGATTTGATTATTTTTGATACTCAAGAATACACCACGATTCGACTTAAAAAGTTAAAAAGTTCTTCTTAGTCCCTTAAAAGCATCTCAGGGCAGCTGAAAGGCTTCTGTGTTGACTTGTTATTGCTGTCCGTCTGTGAGTGACTCACTGAGCTGCAGTGTTTTAGCAAAGCACACATTACCCAAACGCTAAATCTTAGAAAGTGTCAGCTGGTCAGCAGATTCCCCGGCGCGTTGCATAACGGGTGTCTCACTTTACATGCCATACCTGTCTGACAGAAAGGAGCCTTTGAGAGCGGCTCAAAATGCCACTCAGCTGCTGCTGCTGCTGGGGAAACAAAAAAGTGGGCAAGCATCATCGGCGCTGCAGCCAAGCTTCTCTTTTAGCAGGACTGGGCTGATAAGAAGAGCTGAGTGTTCTCCCCAAACACACACCACGTTCACCTGGAAACCGCCCCCACCCTCAACATTCACTCACTACAACACACTCAAATGGCATTTAAGCCGTTGCATAAGCGTTGGCGCTGCGACAGCAGACACACAGACCCTGAAGATAGATTACACCTAAATGACGTCTCCTGGAAGCAGAAAGGTCGGTGAAATAAAGAAGCCACGGAACAATGTGTGAATGTGTTTGCTGTATAAGACAGGAGGTGTTAGCGGAGTTACCTAACCAGGAGCATCTCATATTTAGTCCTGCAGAGTCCTAAGATCTCTGCATCAGTTCATTACTGCCACTTTACCTTTTCAGGCCATGAAATGAGAGCAATTAGGTCCCAATGACAGCTCCAGTCTATTCCAACTGATCTCCTTTAATGCTAGACGGCATCAGAGGTCTGAAAACTGAACTTGTCATTTTCCAGAAATACTTTCAGTGAATCCAGAGAGGACAGTGACGCAGGGCAGACGCTGCTCATTTATATTAGGGATGGGCAATTAATTACATTTGGAATATATTCGCACTTTAACAACATGCAATATTCAAATCGCAGATGCACTCAGTTTTGCGTCACATTACAATTAACTAAAATAAGACATTACATCTTTCACTCCAGCCCTTTAAGTGGTGGTAATATGCTTAAAGTCATAGGGAAGTCATATATAAATGTCAAATAATTCTGGCTTAAACATGTATATAAATTAGGGGTGGAACGGTTCACAAAATCCAC